AGTTATTTGGCTTATATCGTGATAGATATCGTTATCGCCTGAAATGAAAAAAACATATCGTGATATGAAAAAATCTCATATCGCCCAGCTCTATTTGAAGCTGTGCTCATAATTAATCAGCTGTATTCATTGTTTGTGCTTTTAGTGGTGAGGATGGGGCTCTCAGCTCTGACTCTTAAAGCATTTGTCATCAGAAGTGAAACTTGGTCACATATCTAGTTATACTGGGAAGCACCCAAAAAGAGCCACTGTTTTGTGTTTTTTATGAATGGGTTCACAAACTGTGGCAGCTGATGAGAATCCGACACAAAGGTTTAATCTTCTGTGCCAGCGATCTTCAGCTGTGGCTAAATGTGGATTTAGATTTATCTGCTGATTATTAAAAGAACAGAGCGGTTTAGAGAGTAACTGCATGTCAGTCGCTGCAACCATCTGTCGATGTGATAACCAACTTTTTGTATCACAAATGTCACAACAACTGAGATTAAATGTCCTGAGTTACTAAACAAAACAGAGCTAGTCCTGCTTGTTTGGATAATTAGACTTCTTTGCTTTCTGATTGCTTGCTGCTGTCGAAAAATCTTCTACAAAAGAGCCTTGTGTTAGGCTGGTATGTTTTTTTTTCTCCTTAAAGTAGTAATTAATGTTACCAACTAACCACAGGGTTATAAATTTATTTTTTTAAAGGCTTTCAAGTCTCTATAAGGTGGAAAAACCTTTTTTTAAAAGTTGAAATTTACAGTGTATGTCTGAACAAAGCAAAATCGCTGGTGTGGTCTTTTAACAACTTGCCACTCTGCTGCTAACTTGGTACTCTGGCAGAGGTATGAGTTAACTGCTCTGGCCTCCCCTTACAGGGGCTGCTGCTCTCTACCTGCTTCATTAGCCCTCAACTACACACTCTGTGTGGTATTTCACTGTGACTCCCAGAATGTGCTACCCTCCAGCCAGCACCGGGCCGATATAACAGGCAGCTTGCCTAGCTAACTAACTGCTTGCTGCTTTGCTAACAAACCCCTCTCTCTTTGTCTCTGTGTGTGTTCTCCCTTTGCTGTTGCTTCTGCCCCAGTGGGATCTTCCTGCCCCTCTGTGTTTCTCAGACCTGCGGAGACGGAGGCCGTCTTCTGTTTGGACATCTGTCCATCTCTTTTTTTTCGTCTCTCATAAGGTAAGTTTTGCTGTCACTCTGGGCTCCGTATGGGAACAGTGTGTGGTTTGTGTGCTGGATATACACTGTTCATAATCATGCCCATTGTGCCCCTGTAACATTTAACATGCTGCGCTTGCTCTCTGTCTCATCTGTCAGTAGCTTCCACCCGACTCCTACACATAATCCACTCAGTTTGTTGATGGTATCTGCTTGCAGCCCTGCAAAGCTCCACAATATCTCTTTAAGTCTGAAGACATTAGAAACGCATCAGCTCAATGAGTGAAGACAAAAAAATTAAACTACACATTTAAAAGTTGCGTAAGAGTCAACCACCTCTCGTCCCACCTTTCTTTAAATGATTCCTATTTTGTGGAGATGCCTCTTTAGTGTTGCCACATGCAAACTTAAGCTATTCTTTGCTGGAGTCATGGGAGTGCTGGTATAGCAGAAGTTGTTAAGTTGTTTAGCAGTCTGACAGCCTGACAGAGAAATACGCTGAACACTTCCCGCGTTCACCGTCCAAACGTTAGTGACAACCATGGCCGCTTGTTTCCTTCATGTTTAGAGGCTTTGTGCTAAACTGTACATTTTAATGCCTTCACACGAATGACTTGAGAAGATATTTTCTTATCAAGTCAAACAGTACTGACATGAACAGAAAGCATCTAGAACTGTCTTTAAAAAGTGAAAAGTCCTGTTTTAGGGAGATTAGCATTTAGGGGGGGGGCTGCTGTTGTGTTTTGTTTTTTTTTTTTTTTTTTTTTTTTTTTTTTTTTTTTTTTTT